GTTCGGTCCCCGTAGGTTTTTTTTTGGGGTACTGCCCTGGGTGCCCCGCGGTCGTGAATTGCTGATCCGAATAGATCCGAGGCTGCAGGTATGGTCTTTCACAATTTGGGCATTTCTGCTGGCAGAATACAACTAGTCTTGGAGCACTTTTTGACCATGCCCCCAAGAGCTGCGACCCGACAAAGGCGAACCGCAGTCCCTTGCAGGGTGGGGAAGGCAGAACAGCGAAGTTTGGCATCCTGCTTCCGAAGTTGGCTCGCAGCTTGCTAAACTCAGCTTGCGTTGTAGAGTCTGCTAGAGGCAGGGTGCTGTTATGGACACATGCGGAAGTATGCAATTCATATAGCATACTGGATGCAACGCTCTTGGACACGCGCAAACGGCGCTGCTTGCATTTGCGCACTGGCAGCAAGCAGATAAACGCCACAGCATGTGCCCAGGGTGACACGCTGGAGCCCCCTGACTCATGTGGTCTGTGAACGCAAGGGGCCCTTGTACGGGCAAGCTTTGGACTGAGCGACCTTTGCGCATGATCCGATCCTTGGCTCTGTGTGACGAGGCGCTTGGCTTGCCGTGAGCGATGTACTCTCGAACAAGTCTCCTTGCTGTCACTTGCCAACAAAGCCTACACAGGTTGTTTCAAAGAGCCTGTCAAAGCAAATCACTTCGCACCCAGGCCGTCTTTGGCATGGTGGCAAGAATGACCGGATCTGACACATTGTTTGTCTAAACTCTAGACTCGAAACCCTGAACAACTCGTTTCAGCCCATAAGCCTTATGATCCTTGCGCCCGAAATTCCGTCAGTCCTAAACCTGGAAGCTGAAGCTCCGCCGGCAAGGATCGATAGAATGGATGACCTTGTTCCTGTGACGGTGGGGACAAGGCCAGCAACGGGGAGGTTGGAGGTTTGTGCTTTCGCATTTGCTTCAAGTAGATGTAGCTTTTCGCCGTTGTTGAATATGGAATCTCGTTTCTGGTGCTTAGGTTCTGCTGGGATCATGAAAACCCCGAACCCTAAAGCCATGAAGCCTTTGGGCCTCGGCCTAGCTAGGTGGGAGGCAAAAAAGCCATGAAGCTAAGCCTTAACACGGAAGGCAGTATGCGAGTTTCGGATAACCTTGCCCAATTCAGACCCGGCACACACAGGTTTCGGTGCACGGGTTGCGGGCCCGAGAGCTTTGAGGTTGCCACGTGTTTCGAACCTAGAGTCCAAATCCGCTCTCGCAGCATGCGACTTGGTCATCTGGGCGGGTGGTCCGGAAAGAGCCAGAAGAAGCGAGACCCCGAGTCGGGATTTCAAGATTCCCATCACGTAAGGTTGACGGTAGGAGGCTGGCGGCTATGCACAGCTGCAGAGTTCAGGGCTGAGGTTCAGTGCGGCGAGTATGTGATTCATCCTCATTGCGCCAACACCCTTCAGATGAAGAGCAAGAATGAGAAGAAGAAGAAGAAGAAGCAGAACAAGAACATACTATTAGACCCCTGTCCTGAGTTCCAGCTTCAGCCAGGAAGATGCGACCAGCGTTGGTTCCAATGAGTTTCCTGCCATCAAGCGAGAGCAGCAACGGACCGAAGAAAAAAGAAGCCAAGTACTATGCATCTGCGTTGCTGTGCCGCTATTTGCGACGCTGTTGGCGACCTCGCCTTGGGCATCCGTGCTGAGTTGAGTATAGTAGTATAGCAGAGTCTCGCGGTGCAAGCGCATCGGGTGCTCAACGACCTGCAAGCGCCAGACTGGCTCAATCTGGCAGGAGGAGAGACGGTAGTTGCAGCTAGACCAGAGCAGACAATGGCAGACCATTTGTCCTAAGCGGCCAAACCAGGAAGCTTCCAAACTCAGCCAGCTCCTTAGGACTCCTTCAGATGTAGAAGAAAAAGCAGAGTGCTGTGTCGGCCTCGTATTGCTTGTTTTCAAGACTTCGGGTTCGCTGCGGGGCTGTCGCCATGCATCGCAGTGCTTCCTTGCTCTCCTACTTGTCGACAGGCGACTTGGGGCAGAGCTGTGCCGGCATGTCCTGTAGGGGATCCGAGAAGTCAAGAGCTCGCTCTCGCTTATATCTCGCTTGTGCCACGCTTGGAAGCCGGAGAGATCGGTGCGGCTCCAACGAGTGATCAGACCTTCGAGTCCTTGTGCAGACAGTATCCAATGAACATGCAGAATCCTCGCAACTAATCATGATTCACTCGTTGTCTTCTTTGAACCTCGCTAGTGGGCATTGATCCTCAGCCATGCGAGAGGGAAAAAAATCATGAATCATATTCGAGATGCATCTTAGCGAAAATTCACCATCTCAACGAAGCAGATTCCGAGAGTTCACAGTTTCATCGAGCACGACATTGGATACTGTCATACTTCCCCAGCGTATATCCGGTCTAGTTATGCGCCTCTCGCGAATCGGCAACAGCAGCCCGCCCTTCATTAGCCTTCGCTGTCAGGGAGCGGGACTCCCTCTCCTTCAAAAAAAGGCTTTGTTAAGGGAAACTGGGAGCCCCAAGACCCCAAGCTCCCCAGTTGGGGAATCCTTGTGCTTACCGCCTGCTTCGTGCAAGTGTGGTGCAAGTCGAAGCCTTCTAAGCCCTACTTAGTTACTTCGTAGCTGAATCACTACACATTAAACGTTTCGGGATAATATGATCCCTTATAG